TCGAGTAATGCCGTATTCTAAAAGACTCTGACTGAGGCTATATCTCTTACGTAGCGAGCAAAGCAGGCATAGTATACCTAAGCCGTATACTAGCAACACTATTTAAAGATACTCGTATAAGAGTAAACTAGATAGTACTAGGAACTTTCCCGACTATAGTAAGCTCGCTTAGTGTTATAGCACTAGATACTAATAGTATATAGTATAGATAACGACGGGTTTATTAGGTCCGGACCTAAAGTCTACTATAAATCGGCTAGTAAATAACGCTATAGGTATAGGTCTCTCGACGTTAAAGACGACTCTTCTACTAACGTTTACGTACTAAGGACGCCTAGGTAGAGAATTAGATATCAGAGCTTCGGTATTACTACTCGCTAGGATTAGGGGGACCTATTATAACTACTAGATACTATTGCCTAATAGAGGAGAGACTCTTATATCGCCTGCTGCTATCTAAAAGTCGCTATCTTAATAATTGTGAAGTATAGGCTTCGCGTAGTATAATAAGTATCGATCGAACTAGCGCGAGTCGAGCCGGATCGTAAAAGTAGCTAGACGAACGCTTAGCGAGGAACTTAAATTCTTCTTTACTAACGAGCGGCTATATTCTAACAATCTAAGTAAGGTGCTATAATTGCTATTCGAGAGAACGATCTATAGACTTTAATTTGCCTATAATATTACGTAGACTAGGTTAGGGCACCGTTCGCCTACTACGATATAAGATTAACGACCTAATTTATATCTTAATTTATATCGCCCGCCTCCGTCGCTTTAGACCTCCGGTATATACTATTTGCGCTACTAGTAGTATAAACGGTTAGTAGCGCCGGGGATAGTCGTACTATCGGTATAGACGTCTTGCTTAACGAAGGAGCCGCCGAGTATATAGGCGAAGCGGCTGCCTAGAAAGTTGCGTAATTATCGTAGCCGTTCGTAAGGCGTCCGCTTATGCTTTCTAGTTAAAGTAACGCGATATATCCTTCTCCTTCCGTATAGGTACTTTAACTTCGTTAGTATCTTCGTGCTTCCTCCTTCTCGAGCCTAGAGGGTCTTAGCTTCGTCTTACCGCTCTTCGAGCAAGGACCTTTTATTCTATAGCTGCGTATTAAGCTTCTGTCTCGCTATTACCTGTCTCGCTTAGGCTGCTCTATAACTTTGCTCGACGCTCGCCTAGTATTAAACGAAGGTCGTTGTCTTTATACTTAGCTAGAGGAGGAGGCACTTCTAGACCTTCGCTTTCCGTATCCTAGTCTAAGTCCCCGCGACACTTAATAACGTACGGTTAGTTATAAGCTAGATAATCGATCTTAGTTGCCTAGACGAGATTAAACTCTTCGCCCTCTATATCTACTACCTTAAGTTTATCTTCTTCTTTAAGTATCGTATCGGTACTTAAGACCCTCCTAACTTTTTACCCCTATATCTTTCTGTAATAAGAGTGCTATCTAATCGACGCTATATAATGCCTTCTAAATACTAGCTAACAATACCGTAGTTAATTAGAATAGCCTCTTTCTCCTAAAACCTATATAGACCCTACTACTAGTCGGAAAACTACCTTATCTATAGAACGAGGTAGCCTCTAAAGCGAGGTAGCCTATAGGAGGAGGTAGCCTATAGGAGGAGGTAGCCTATAGACCTAGGTAGCCTATAAAGCGAGTATTAGAGGATATATAGAAGGTATATAGCTAGCTAGGTAGAGCTAGGGTCTTAGTACCTTAGATATAGCTTAGCGCTTAGCGCTAGCCTAACTTCCTAAACTTCCTCTCTTTCCTTTATAGACCTTATCGAATACTATACGCTTTTAACTATACTATCTACCTACTTATATAACCCGTATTATATAGTATTCGATCTACCCTTTAAGGGCTATAGCTAGATAGTGAATTAATTTAGTAATACGGCTTAAACCTATACTAAATAAGCCTCCTACTAAAACAAGACCTATACGCTAAGAAACTGCTAATTTCACTACGCTAATTACTAACTTAGGCCTTCTGTACGTCCTATTCTACTAAGTTAATCGTACTAACTATAGGTATACTAATTTCGCTATATTCGTACTACTAGGAAAACTATTATTAACCCTTAGCTGAATAATATATATTAGTAAGATAGAAGATAACAATAATATTATAAATAAGAGCTACGTTATAGGCCGGCGGAATAGCCTTCTAATACCTAGGGTACCTAACCCTAGGCCCCTAAGGACTTTAGGCCCTTCTATAGGCTAAGGAAGTCCGCAATAGCTTCGCGGCTATCTAACGCCTTTAGGCCGAACTTAGTACGCCTATAATAGAGCGACTAGTTCTAAGGAAGGATACTAAGCTTAAGGACTATACTATATTTAATAGCTCTAGTAGGAAGTAGTATAATAATTATATCCGTAACTATAAGCTTAATAAGCGTAATATACTAAAAGCGCTACTAACCGACTATTCCTTATTCGTCTATACTATATAATATATTAATAGCGAGTCTAGGAGAACCTAGGACAATTACTTTAATTCTCCTAAAGAATAGTCCTTAGTCGACTAGTAAACCTATAGAGATACTATACTAAATACGCTTAGCAACCCCTATTTAAGATAATAGCGTACTTAGGAGCAGTTCCTCTACGCTAAATAGAAGCCTAATAAAACGGCTCGAGCCTTCTAAATCCGATTAAGGGCTACGAAGGACGAACTACTACCTAAACCTAATTTAGTACAGATTATAGAAGTACGACCTAAAGTAAGATAGGAGCTTACTCTTAAACTAGACCGCCGCCGTATATTCGAATAATACCCTAGTCGCCTCGAATCTATAGTCGAGGTTAGTATAGCTAAATAGGCTATATAGAGCTAGAAACGACTAGAATCGAAGATCTAGTCTAATAATAATAATAACCGTAGTAACCGTAGAAGAGGTAGCTACTAGGGAAGAGCTAGTAAGCCTAATAGAGACAATAATAACAACCCCTAGTAATAGTAGGGCTATAGTAACTACTAGTCTAAGCTATATCAAGGAGGTAATACCTAGCGTAGTAGAGGTCGCGGAAAAGGGAGATACCCCTACTAGCAAACTAGGCAACCTATAGCTAGTACTAAGTAGGAGGAATGCTAGTACTCTACTAACTAATTTTAAGTACTTTAATTGCGATAGTACTAGTTACTTACCTAGTATATATAATAAGCCGAAGGACTAGGCTCGAATCGAGTATACTACTATCGACTATAGAAGGAGGCTTATATTAGCAAATACTACCCCTATAATAGGCCTTCCTAAGAACCCTAACCGCTCGAGAAAGGACTAAGCGCTACACTAACTATTAGCCTAGTACGGCGTAGAACTAATAATATATAGCTAGTAATTATACGAGCCTACCTATTATATATAGTATATTATAAAAGTAGATAATTATTCTAAGTCTATCTACGCTTAGAGAAGCATATACTATAGGAGCCTCTAGTAGGAGCCTAACCCTATGCCTATACCTGCCTTTATAATAGAATCTCTTAGTCCTGAAATGTCCGCGACTACGCGGACGGTAGACTTAGTATCTATATATATAATAAAAGAAATTTTAGGCTATATGCCCCTATCTTTCGCTCTATTATCCTAATTTTTTCCTACCCGCTAATGCTTAATATCCTATTTCCTCGAGCTAGATCGTTTAGCGCGAGAGTATAAGAAATACTACTATTCGCTAACTAGGGGGTCTCTAGGATACTCGTTATTAGGTACTCTTTACTATAGAGGCCTAGAGGGCGTAGCTCTAGAAAGCGGAGGCCCTTCTTCTTATTAGTAGGATATAGACTATTAGAAGCTACTAAGATAAGCTTTCCTAGCGCCTTACGTAGACCCTTATCGCCGCTTACTCGTACTAATCTATAGAGCGTAGTAAGTAGTTTAAAGATATCGCTTTCGTTTTAATTAAGGAACTATAGTAGAGGTAGGTCTTTTATAGCCTCGATCGTATTTATAGCGGAGTTCGGCTCTTTAGATATACGCTAGATAGAGTTACTAATTAGGGGTAGACTTAGGACTTACTTGTCTTCGTTATCGTAGTTAATAGTACTATCTTCTTTCTATAAATAGGCGAGCGTACCTACAAACTCTATAATATCTTCGAAATTAGTAGAGTTGAATTTACCCTCCTAGGTAGTACCCTCCTAGTCGAATTAGTTACTATAGTCTACGACCTCTTTAAAATTCTCCTCTAGTAGATCGAATATCTTATATAATATAATATATTTACTATCCTACGCTTTATCGTCGGCGTCTAGCTCGGTAAGCTCTTTCTTATTTAAAATTTAATCGTAACCGTAGTCCTCGAGCGCGTCGCCGACGGCTTTTGTAAGGAGGCCGACGAATTACTTAAACTCTTATAGATCGGTATTTTCCTACTAATTCCCCTATAGTATAGCTAAGGCTTCTCGAATAGGGAGGTCGTCCTATCTATAATCCTATAGCGCCTTAACTAGTAAAGGACGATTCTTATTCTTATTATCCTTATTGCTACTATCATTAATAGACGTAGGCTCCGGCGGAAATTACTAGACTATCTTTACGAGGCCGGCGTATATTAGCTCTACGAAATATAACTATTTTACGCCTATAAGCTTAT